CACCAGCCCAGAGGGAGAAGGAGGAAATGAGAGGGGTAATCTTGAACGATAATGAATCCTCTTTTGGAGGGAGAGATACAGTTGCTGAATTCCCCCCACCATATAAACCGCTCAAGTTTCTCTTTTACCTGCCCATTCCAACGTATAGTACGCTGGTTCGTGGCATCTCATGCGAAATCTGCACTATCTCCCAACATAGGTCGGCACCACTGTGGGACAGAGTTGACTTTTGAGTCGACTCAAAAGTCAAATCAGCATAGGTAGGCACCAGTGCGGGACATACAAGGACATGGGCGAACTAGATCCAGAGGGGACGCTGTCACGTGATGTGCCTCGCGCCTTTGATGGCATCAGCCCTTGAGATTCATGCATCCACGAATGGACATGGCCCATGGGCGAAGGAAACCCAGGGAGATTGCTGGCACGCGCAGCACGAGCCCTTGAGTGTCCTGCATGCATGTGCATGCATGCCTGATCACTATGATGTGCCTCGTTCTTCTTTCCCTTTCTCATGCACACAGAGAGCTGAGTGCTGTTTACCTCACTGGGAGCATCCCTGCAGAGATTTTTACTCTTCCGAGGCTCACCAGATTGTATGCTCCGATGCTCATGCCATTTGATGCTCATGCCACTTGATGCTCATGCCACTTAATGCTCATGCCATTTGATGCTCATGCCACTTGATGCTCATGCCATTTGATGCTCATGCCACTTGATGCTCATGCCATTTGATGCTCATGCCACTTAATGCTCATGCCATTTGATGCTCATGCCACTTGATGCTCATGCCACTTGATGCTCATGCCATTTGATGCTCATGCCACTTGATGCTCATGCCATTTGATGCTCATGCCATTTGATGCTCATGCCACTTGATGCTCATGCCACTTGATGCTCATGCCACTTGTTGCTCATGCCACTTGTTGCTCATGCCACTTGTTGCTTATGCCACTTGTTGCTCATGCTGTTTGTCTCTCATTTCACCCTTCCTGTGTGGTCATGTGTGCTTTTTTACATGAAACCTTAAACATGACATGACATGACACATGACATGGCACATGACACACTCGTACATACGTCGTTGTATGATACGGATTGTATTACACCAATAGATCCATATCTCACATTGAGCTCGAGGGGTCCATCTCTCCAAAGATCTCCAAACTCACTCAGCTCAAGATCCTGTAAGCCCTTGCCCTCCTACTGTTAGAATTAGGCTGTCAACATTTTGTGTACTCTATTTTATATCGCGTAGGTTATTTGCGGGTTGGGTGTAGTTTGTAATCCCAACCCTATCTGGTTGGGATTCCCTCGTAATCCTGCAAATCTGCCAACTCACCAATTGGAGATTTGCTAGGATTCCCATCCCATCCTTTCCCTAGCCTTTCCCAACCCAACCTCGTTTGTACTTAAGGCCTAGTGCCTTCTCTACTAATTCATCAGTTAAGCTCCTTTTCTATCACCTACGCTCTCTTTCATGGACGAGTCTAGAATAAAAAACACGTTCTCATTCAAAAACGAGGGAACCATTGTATGGTGTAGGTAATCTTGGTGGGTGGGCAGGAGCATATGCTGAAAGCCTGAGGATCATGGGAAATTGTGTTGGTGGGGCTGGAATCTATGCTTGTATATAAATGCAAGTGAGAGTACCCCTTGGTTGTTCGTAGCATAATGATATGCATTTGTTCTAGAAACAAAATATACTGCTCACATGCAGCAAACACCACAAACAGAGTACATGCATGCAGTAGGAAAAGTAGCATTTTGTGTGCCAGAAAACCTGGAGCACTTATATTCGTACATATACATGATACATACTCACGTACATATACATGCATGCATGCACCACACTGCAGTGGTGGTGAGGTCCAAAATTGCTGTTTGCAGCTTGTCATTCATGACAGAGGATCGCGTTGGCCTCATTCATTCAGAGTTGTTTGTTTGCTGTGCTGTCTGCGTCGTCGATTACTTGCAGCAACCTTGAATTTAATTCTATGCTGGGTGGCGTCCTTCCTTCCCTCGCCCGCCTGGAATCCCTCGAGTTCCTTTGAGAATTCCACCATGCCACGCTCTTCCATTCCATGCCATGCTCTTCCATTCCATGCCCTGCTATGCCTGCCATGCTATGCCTTGCCATGACCTGCCATGCTATGCCCTGCCATGCTATGCCCTGCCATGATCTGCCATGCCCTGCCATGCCATGTGCTCCAATCAGCTCCCTGCTTGCAAGCCCAGCGAAGCGACCTCACTTGTCACTGACTTGGTTGGCATGTCGTTGACAAGGGCCGACCCCCCATAATAACGTGAACATACTATCTTAAACTATCTTCTGCGTTATATCCCAATTTCATCTCTCCAACTCCTGCTCTCCCTAGCCCGCTGGCGAGCCACTGAGCCTTGTACAGTCTTCTTCCTGCACCTACAACAAGTCAGGGACAAGCCTGCTACTCGTCGCCTTGCCCTATCTTGTCCTTCTCCCGGCTTGCCCACCTGCTCATACCTGAGGCTCATTCCATCTCCTTTGCCCCCACGTGCTCCCACCTGCTCTGCTCCCACGTGTTCCCACCTGCTCCCACGTGTTCCCACCTGCTCCCACGTGTTCCCACCTGCTCCCACGTGTTCCCACCTGCTCCCACGTGTTCCCACCTGCTCCCACGTGTTCCCACCTGCTCCCACGTGTTCCCACCTGCTCCCACGTGTTCCCACCTGCTCCCACGTGTTCCCACCTGCTCCCACGTGTTCCCACCTGCTCCCACGTGTTCCCACCTGCTCCCACGTGTTCCCACCTGCTCCCACGTGTTCCCACCTGCTCCCACGTGTTCCCACCTGCTCCCACGTGTTCCCACCTGCTCCCACGTGTTCCCACCTGCTCCCACGTGTTCCCACCTGCTCCCACGTGTTCCCACCTGCTCCCACGTGTTCCCACCTGCTCCCACGTGTTCCCACCTGCTCCCATGTGCTCCCACGTGCTCGCATGCTCCCATGCGTCTCTTTCTACTTCCACGTGCATTCCTTGCTCAACACAGGAATCTTGCGAACAACTATTTCTTTGGCCCCTGCCCAGACCTGCCGTCCTCGTCTCGGCTCACTTACATGTGAGTCTGAGTAAAGTATCCACATAACACCAGAGGAGCATTCGATTGTCCGATTTCTGTCTTCACACTTGACTGCTGCTGCTGGCACTTGAATGGTGGAACGCTTCATCTCTCTGTTCCTATGTTTGCTGGACTGTAACGGGTGCATCCATGATAGCTATCCATCTATCAGGGTATCATGGGCCATGATATGAACCTTTAAATCACCACCTAGAGAAGCGATTGACTGCTCTATGTCTTCCTGCTATGCATCACATCTCTGAGTGCAGTGACCTTTCTGGCAACTTCCTTACGGGAACCCTTCCATCAATGGCTAGCTTGAAGGGCCTCAAATTCCTGTGAGTGCACACGCATTGCGCCGTGCACACGCATTGCACCGTAACAGTTTACAGAGTGTGCTGCTGTGTTCTGTGCGCATTCACGTGCATGTGCACCAGTGGCACCAGGAGCACAGCATGTTTTCTGTCACTCTGCACACACACACAGACACACACACCCTCACTCGCGCGGTGGTGTCTTTCATAATCACCACACCCTCACCTCACCATCCCATGTCCGTCTCACTGCGTGTCCATCTGTCGCCATCCCATGCCTATCCCTCTCGCCATATGCAGATCACTAGAGAGAAACTTCTTTGTGTCGGGGTTCATCGTTGGAAGAGTGTGCGCGCAAGCTGCCATTAACCTTGACTGGAACTGCTTCGCTGCCAACGACATTCCGTGCCTCATGGACTCGGCTCAGAGTGTCTACTGCTCCGACTTTTGCGGACTGGCAGGCCCTACCAATCCTCCGTGTGGTGGCCTTGGGTACTGCGGCGGCTCGTCAAACTTTTGGGAATTCGGCTCCAAAGAATGCTGGTGCTTGGAGGGGTACAAGAGAGGGGCGACGTGCGCTCCTCTTCTCGAGGCCTCTCAAGGTGCGTTGTGAGGAGGGGAGTCAACCAATGCATGTTTCTCTAGGATGAATTGCATGGCAGCGCCAAGGCTACTAGAGGGAGTGCCCTTTCTTGAGCGTGCAATGAACAGGAGTGTTCACCCCGAGGTACATCGATCAAGTGTGATGGATAGGATGAGACCCTAACAGAAAGAGTAGTCTGCAAGAATGAATTTATAAATATGAATTTTCTTCTCCTACATCCCCTTCTCCTAATCGTGTCCTTTTACTCAACGTGTGTGTTTTCCGCAGCGCAAGTGCTGAAGCAGTTGCAGGTGCTGTGGGGCACGGGGGACAACGAGCAGTGGCAAACGGAGACCATCTCCTCCCTCATGCGCTTTGTCGCTGTTGACACTCAGAGCTTCATTGTTCGCCTGTGAGTGCTCCGACTGCTCCGACTGCTCCGACTGCTGTGTGCCCCATGGCTTGAGTCAGTCAGAGCGCCATGTGTGCATGCGTCAAGGCTCGTGCACCGTGGTCTCTTAGGTGTACTCTGTGCTCTGCAGTGCGTGCTTGTGTATTCACTGTTAAAAACACCACTCTACTAAACGACTGAGTTGTCGCGGGTCAGCGCACCTATACTCTATACCCCCCAGAACGGAGCCCTTCCAAGATCTCTGGGTCATCCCAGTGGATCTAGGAACAACATTTGCTACTCACATCACATTCTACACTTCCCTTTTTGCTTTTGAGAATTTTGAAAAGTGACTCCCAGTGGATCTAGGAACAATATTCTTTACTCACTTCCTACTCCTCCCTTCTCTCTCTTACTGCTTGCTGTGCTACAGCGCACTTATATGTTCTTCCACACGTTAACCTCTGTATCGCTGTGCCCCACCCAATCTCCAGCGACTTATCCAACCAATGGCTCCCTGGAACCATCCCATCGGTGCTCTCGTCGCTCACTCGCCTCACACATCTGTATGCCCCCTCTGCAATCCTAATGCCGTCTTTCTATCTGCATTCCTCACAATGTCTTTCTATCTCGCTCTCATAAAGTGAACTGCACCAGAAGCTGAACAGCAGTATTTGGGTTTACCTTGTCCTCTTGTTACATAAGGAAAGCCCATATTAATGCATCAGTGGAAACGCCTACTTGCACAAGCCGTTTGATCAAAACTTGTGGTGTAAGATAGACTTTAAACGGCAAGACAAATCCGATTCATATCACATGTTTTCCAGCACTGTCTGATCCGGTCTAGTGTTGCGTTTCATTTCTCAAATCCCAGCTTGGCTCATTAGTCAAGACTCGAGTGCATAATCCTGTAGCACAAACTTTTGAAGAGCCTATGGTGGCATGGTGTGGGCGCATACGTTGCTATGGGCCACACGCACACGACATAGCATACCGACCGACTGCACTGCATCCCATTCTTGATGATCCCGGGGTCATTCTCATTCTCATTGTCGTCGACTCCATCATTCATGCTGCTCATGCAGGAATCTGTCAAGAAACTCATTTGCAGGCACCATCCCTGCTTCCTTTGCCAGCCTTGTCAACCTTCAGAATCTGTGAGACCCTCTGCCATCTTGTGTTTGCAAGCTAGCAGCTGGATGGGTGCATAGTAATGGGCTTTTGTTTATCACCCTCACTCAAAATCGAAATCTTGCCTTTGTGCCATCACAATTTTGCCTCATTTACATTTGGGGAAATTCATGGATTGTGTGGTGCGGTGGGCTGCTTACATCAATATAAGCTTCTCCTCACGATTATCTTCAAAAAGATCCTCTCTGACTTTTGTGAAAGACCCCACACTTGCTTTGGCCCCGTAACGCCTTGCTTAACTGCATGTTTGCCTGCTTGCGTGCTTGCCTACAGTGACTTGTCGAATAACCAGCTGTCTGGATCCATGCCCGCCGCTCTCCTTGCCCTCAATTCCCTCCGCTTTCTGTAAGAAAACCCGATTCTGAAGCGCATTTCAGCATCCGAACCAATCCCGCAAGCCATTGCCACAGTTTCAGAAAACCCGAGTTATTGCTGTTCCTGATGTCCCGGCATGGGGGGCCCCAGGGCCAACCTTCGCCCGCGCTCTTGGTGCTGCTCAGATCCAACGAAGCGCCACACTCACAGCCTCCTCTCGCCTCCCATCTGCAGGCCTGTCAGCGACAACTACCTTCACGGGGCCACGGTTCCCAAGCCCAAGTGCACACCAAAGACCCTGTAGGTACTTACGCGATGTGGCATCACTCACACACACCTTCCATTCCTCGCCCCTCCCATCTGCAGGTCCGTGCGCGACAATTCCCTTCACGGGGCCACGTTTCCCAAGCCCAAGTGCACACCAAAGACCCTGTAGGTACTTACGCGATGTGGCATCACTCACACACACCTTCCATTCCTCGCCCCTCCCATCTGCAGGTCCGTGCGCGACAATTACCTTCACGGGGCCACGGTTCCCAAGCCCAAGTGCACATCAAAGACCCTGTAGGTACTTACACGATGTTGCATCACTCACACACACCTTCCATTCCTCGCCCCTCCCATGTGCAGGTCCGTGAGCGACAACTACCTTTACGCGGGTACGGTTCCCAAGCCCAAGTGCACATCAAAGACCCTCACACTCTCTCTTGGGAGCAACTGCTTCCCCGCCAAGGCCATCCCCTGCGGCCAACCGCAGCGGCCCGCCCAGCAGTGCAGTGCATTCTGCAGCCTCTCCCCGCCATCTACGTTGTCCTGTGGTGGCCAAGGCTATTGCTTCTGGAAGGGAGAGCAGAACACAGGCACGGCCACGTGCGTGTGCAACGAGGGGTTTGGAAACGGGGTGGATCCCGGCACGTGCCTGCAGTCGCTGCCAGAGCTGGAATGTGGGTTGGGCTGGGTTCCCCTTCTGGACGCTCTTTCATCATTTCTGTGATGCTTTCTTTGTTTGTTTTTGCGTGCCTGATTTGAGTGAGAGCTGTTGTCCATATTGTTCTAGCCTTAGCAAGAGTGTGCTATGTAGGTGTGAAAGTTCAAGTTGCACAGCGTAATGGTCGATGCAGCCTTGTGTTGTACGCGCTGTGCCATGTGTGCCCAGGGTTGGCCCTCAGTGCGCTCTCGGTCTCGTTTTTGGAGATGTCGGATCAGAACGGTCAATGTGGTGTTGTGTTGTGCTGGCTCTGTGTGTGTGGCTGTGCGTGCACAGGGATGGCTCTGTGTGTGTGGCTGTGCGTGCACAGGGATGGCTCTGTGTGTGTGGCTGTGCGTGCACAGGGATGGCTCTGTGTGTGTGGCTGTGCGTGCACAGGGATGGCTCTGTGTGTGTGGCTGTGCGTGCACAGGGATGGCTCTGAGTGTGTGGCTGTGCGTGCACAGGGATGGCTCTGAGTGCGCTCTCGGTGGCATGGGGCGGCTTTGATGGCGACGGCACGTGGAGAAGGAAGGTGCCGTGTGCGCAGCTGAATTATGTCGTGTGCAACCAGGCCAACCACATCGTCAAGCTGTGGGGCTCCTCTTTACTTCCTTTTTGAGACGTCTCAAGGATGGCCCCGCATGCGTAGCTAAAATGTGTCGTGTGCAATGAGGCCAACCGCATCGTCAAACTGTGATCCTCTTCTTCATTTCCTGTTGGTGGCGGAGAGTAGGCTCTTCATGATGTGATATTGGTGTATGTGATGGTGATTTCCCAGTTTCTTCGTTCATAATGCGGAAGAAAGGCGCGATGGGATTGCATTTGTTTGATGTAGAACAGTATTCTCTCTTTTTTTTTCTCCCCATGTCCCTCCCTTCGTTTGCCCTACTCGCCGTGCACGTACATCATCCAGGAATGCACCCAGTCGCGGAATAACTGGTTCGATTCCAGTAGCCATTGCCAATCTGCTCTACCTCACTTCCATGCGAGTACATTTGACCAGAGTTATCCATGCGTGCTGCTTCGCTTGGAACCTTACATACGCTTGCTTCGCTTCATTCACAGGGTGCTGCTTGCTTGCATGATCCTCTCATTCCAACCCATGGTGAGATATTATTACACCACGAATAGAGAGAGCAAGCAGCATGCGGCTAATCGAGGGTCATGGAGGGCCAAGCGATGTCGAGTCTCCAAAATGCTTTACCTTACTTCTTGGCATAGTCGCACCGACAGCTGAGACAACTAAGCATTTGCAGAATGGCTAAGACTGACGGTGATGATACAGAAAGGACCTCTGCAGCACTTCCCTGTTAAGTGTGCCACGAGTACTTTTGAGTCGACTCAAAAGCGGCAGTGCCGTTTTGAGTGTGCCACAATTGTTGCCAGACTGACAGGAACAAGCTGCCCGTTAAGTGAGCTCTTAGACGCAGGTGGATGTGGCATGGAGCAGTAGTAGTAGAGGGGGTGGGTGAGGGCGGGGGGGGGGGGTAAGAGGGGTGGGTGGAAGAGTGAGAATAGGACAGTGGGAGTGGCAGTGGCAGGATGGCGGAAGAGAAGGTGGCGTGAAGCTAGCAGGAGGAGGCAAGCCCCCACTCCCACAATCTCTTTGAGAAAGCGAGAGTCTCTTGCCTCTCTTCCTTCCCCTCTCTCATCCCTCCTCCCCATCCCGTGTCTGCGTGCAGCAACCTTTCTGGCAACCGCATTGCTGGGGGCATCCCGGAGTCCATCAGCTCCCTCACGAATCTGCAGTTCATGTGAGTCGTGCGCGTGTGTGTTTTGTGTGTGTGTGTGTGTGTGTGTGTGTGTGTGTGTGTGTGTGTGTGTGTGTGTGCGCGCGCGCGTGCGTGCATGCGTGCGTGTGTGGGTGGGTGTGTGTGTGTGTCTGTGTGTGGGTGGGTGTGTGTGTGTGCATGCGTTTTGTGTGTATGTGTGTGTGTGCGCGTGTGTGCGTGCGCGCGCGTGTGTGTGGGGGGGGGGGGGAGGGGGGGAGGGGGGGGGAGATGGGTGGGTGTGTGTCTGTGTGTGGGTGGGTGGGTGTGTGTGTGTGCGTTCTTTTTGTGTGTGTGTGTGTGTGTGTGTGTGTTTTTAACAAGTATGGCTTGTTCTGTGATATAAGAAAAGGTTTGATACATCTCAAAGGCAATCACATTGTCAAGCCCATCAGCTCCCTCACCAACCTGCAATTCGTGTGAGCCGCCACCTGCCCCGCCCATCAGAACACTCCACCCACCTTTGTTTGCTTGCTCCCTTCCTCTTCCACTACTGACCCTGTTGATACTAGCTAGCAGCTACATGGCGCACAGGTGGAATTCCAGTGTAGTGGATATGACGTGCACGTGGAGGGACTGATGGTGATTGAGGCGCCTTTATACCTTCTGCTCTGCTGTTTGCTGTTACACAATTGCAACGCTCCTTTCTTGGCAAGGATTTGTCAGTCAATCAACTATCAGGAGAATTGCGCAGCAGCCTCGCAAATCTCCAGAAGTTGCAGTTTTTGTAAGTTTGTGTGCACATGTCGTTTCTTCTCCAGGACTCCAACACTTAGTTTCTAGTCCAAGCTTGTCATCTCTGGCTGCTTTCACTCAACAACATCTAAACCAAAATCAACGTCGTTGTACCTCCAAACAAATGAAGTATCTGACACATGCACAAGGCTTACGTTCCGCCCACTCTGTTTTCCCTTCCCAATTCACCGTGCATCAACTCTGTTTGTTCAGGTCGTTGGGCATCAACTATCTCTACGCCGGCACTCTTCCCACCTCCTTCTGCTCCGCCGTCTCTCTCTCCCTCGCCAGCAACTGCTTCCCCTCCAACTCCGTCCCCTGCGGCCTCGTTCAAACGCAGCAGACCGCCCAGCAGTGCGCTGCCTTCTGCGGCCTCTCCCCGCCCTCCGCTCCGCCCTGTGCTGGCCGGGGCTACTGCTACTGGCAGGCGCCGCAGACCAGCAGCAACGCCACGTGTGCTTGTTACCCGGGATTCACCACCGGGGCTTCCCCTGCCGTCTGCGATGCCGTCTTGCCCGAGTCCGAGTGTAAGGCTGAGCTGAGCGCTCAGTGGGTCGGTGTTATTGAGATGTCATAGCATGCCTGCACTGTCCTGCTTGCTGTGCTGTGCTGGAGCGATAACACTGTGTCTCTGGGGTCCCGTGCTCTGCTCCTCCGTCCCTGTCCTCCTCACGAAAGGGTTGAACCACACAGCTGGTGTTATTGAATGTTTTTCTTCGTCTTCACTGAGATCTCTCCCCAGCTATGCATCATCACTTAGTTCTTGCATCTTTTTCACACATCCCCTCCCTCCTCCTCAAACGTCGAATCTTTGCTCGCACCCATCCTACACATCCCTCCCACCCACATACCCCTCCCACACACCCCTCCCACATACCCATGCACAGGGCTAGCGCTGGAAGCACTGGCAACAGCGTGGCGGGGGTACGACGGGGAGGGCACGTGGAGCAAGGACGCCCGGTGTGCCAACATGCGGCACATCACATGTGACGCACAGAACCATGTCGTGAAACTGTAAGGCTCTTCGCGGTGCCGTCCATGTGCGATGCAGCGAAAATAGTTGGGACGGTAAGGTTGGGCAACGACGGTTGCAACGAGAGAGTTCTCATAAACTACACATGAATGCGTCGTGTGTGAGAGAGTGCAGTGCGAACCTGGACCTCACTTTTTGGTTCCCCATGTGGGCTGCGAATGCAGGGATGTGGCTAACACTCGAACCTCTGGGAGCATGCCGGAGCTTATTGGGAATCTCGTTTACCTCACTGCATTGTAAGCATCTCACTTTGTTCCCTGGTGAGGTTTCTAAAACATCTTAGTTCAAAAGGTTTGCCAGACACATTTCTGACACATTTCTGGTTAGAGGGATTAAGCGCCTAAGCAAGAAGTATCTCAAAATAACTATGCCCAAGCATGCTTGCTTGCTTACATCCTTCTGCAGTGATTCATTGCTATGCCACGGCACATCCTCGCCATTTGATATGATCCTCATAGCTTTCCATTCACATATTGTTTTCCTAGTTTTGGCCTAGGTGTAGAGGTTACACATAGTCGCAAAGGCATGTCAAAATGAGGAAAACGGTAAACGTAAACTTACACATAACTGGACGTGCGACTTTATGTTAATCTAAGGTTTAAAACCAATAAAAGTAAACATACACGTTTTTCTAAGTTCAGTGCCGTTTTTTTCCTAGAGAGTGTTGATTGTGTATGGGTTATTGGTTTGCTCTAGCTGGTTGTGGGCTAAGATGTGAATGTTAGACTTGTTGCGGGTGGAATTAAACTCGCACCCAACAAGCACCAGCAAATATTTGCTATTCACTACAACACCTTTGGTGTTGCTAGTTTGGCATTTTGGGTTGTTGGGGATTGTTGTAGGGCGAGGGTTGGGTTGGTAGGGTTTGACAAACTCGTCACTCTTGAGAAATGAACGCTTGCTTAAGCGGTTCCTAGATCTAATCAATGGCTGCCAAGTGATTTCGTCGGGGTACCCCGTCGCGCTTAAATCATGATAGCGATCGGCTTAGATCTTGGTTGAAGACGAAAGTAGAGATTAAAATCTTCTAGAAAGTAGAGATTAAAATTCTAGAAAGTAGAGATTAAAATCTTTCCAAAGAGTACCTGCTCATAGTTTTACCTTACGTGAGCTGTACGCAATGTTTCGTCGAAGTCGGCAGACTTAATCTCTTGTTACGCTCTCCAGATTCGCGCGCTTTCCATCAAAGAGAGCCAATCATGTATGCGTTATTTGAACTTCACCAGTTGGGTTATCAGAATTCCAAGGCAAGAAAGCAGTAGCTACCAGCCAGTCCTGCATCAGGTTTTGGATCACATTGGCCATTTTCTTTGGAACCCTCAATTGCTAGTCAGGTCTGTTTGGCCTCCTTCCTCAACCGACCGATCGCAGATTCTCATGCTTCATTCGTTCATCTCACCACATTGACGCCTTTTTTTTAGGCGCATCAAAAGATTTTGAGGCCTTTTGAGGCGCCTCAAAAGTCATCTCCACACTCGTCCACCACTGAAGGGATGAACCTCTGAACGTTTCAGAAATGTGGGAAGCAACCGCTTCAGTGGATCTCTGCCCACGACGTTCGGAAGGCTCACCAACCTGGTCACGCTGTAAGCGAATGTGAAACGACGACCTTCCTTCCTTTGCTAATTTTAGAACGTCCATGTTCCTATGTGCTTACGAGATGCTCATTCTCCTGCCCTACCCCACTCAGTACATAGGGAGGACACCCCCCCCCCTCCCCCCCCCCTTTCAAACAGAACACAGAATTCTTCTGCAGGCTGATTTTCAAACGGCTGCCAGGGATGCAATGCAACTGTTGCCAATGAATTTTCCACTCCATGTTTCTATTCTAGGGCATTTGTTGACTTGATTATGTCATTTGCACACAAAAGAAGAGCTTCATGCACATTCCACATAATGACTTGCTCTGTCTGTCTGCATGCATCTGCCATCTAGGTTTGTTGATCCTCCACTCCCAACCTAGTTATCCATGTGCTATCTCTATCTATTCATCCTCGATTCACCATGTGCAGAGTCATGGGCTCAAACAAGTTTGATGGACCACTGCCCGACTCCATCTCATCTCTACCAAAACCAGAGCTATTGTGAGTGTCCGTAAATGCATTTAGAACAAAATGCTGCAGGTCTCTAAAACTGTGACCCATTATAGAAAGGCTGTGATACCATGCACATGTCTGTTGAGGTGAGCATGATCTCAGTCTAAAGCTTCCGATGGTCAGATGCTCAATGACCAAACTTTCGGTGCATCCTGCCCGTCTGTCGGTATGTACGTGTGCCGTGTGGTGCAGGAGTATTGGAGTGAACGCATTCAATGGTCAGATCCCCGAAGGCCTTTGCAAGATGACGAGCTTGACAGCCATGTAAGTAGATGGAATCATGCTCACATGTTCTTCACTTTGCTTTGCCGTATTGCAGGCAGCCTCGTTCTATCATCCATGACTTGGCCATTCCTCCTGACCAGACTCCAGCGTGGCCATTTCATTTCCCCACTCTCTATTTGCTTCTTGGTCCATTTGCTTCTCCATCTGCTAACTCAAATCCCTCCCAAATCTATTGCCCGTTGCTGCCGGGACGGCAAGGCAGATCGGCGGGGCTCAACAGCTTCTCGGGGTCAATTCCTGACTGCATCTCCACTCTCATAAAGCTGGTCACCTGGTGAGAACTTTTATTTTTTAGACGCCTCATTGGGTATCGACCCTATGACACCAGATTGGTGTTCACTTGAGCTTCTCGGGGTCAATTCCTGACTGCATCTCCGCTCTCACAAAGCTGGTCACCTGGTGAGCAGTGAGCACGTGCTGGCAGGCAAGCTGCAGCAGCCCTGGCTTGTCAAGTGGGACTTGAGACGCTGGTGTAGTGCCAGGCAATTGATTGATGATAGCATATTACGTGCCCTTGCCTGGGGCACATGTGGTTGGTCTAGAAACATCAGCGTATACAGATGGGTAAGCCTTTATCATCCTGGACAATTCATGTCACGTGTGCGTGCGTTGATCGACCCAGGGGTGCTCAAACCATCAGCATAGCACTAGCAGTTGCTTCACTTCACTTCACTTCTCCCCAATCTCTACTGGTGACAGTATCACAACAAATGTTCGGCATCAGCAAGCCATCGCCCTGTTCCCCACTGAATCCGACCACCTCTTCCATTCATCTGTCAATGTTGTGGGTTGCCACTTAGTCCGTTGCATATTATCTTTCTCAAGACCATTTCTCCTCCATTTCTCACTACATATTCCCACAGCCATATTCTCCTGCGAGTGCACTGACACAGCAACCTTCCTTTCACTGACACAGCAACCTTCCTTTCACTGACACAGCAACCTTCCTTTCACTAACACAGCAACCTTCCTTTCACTGACATCGCACCTGGCTCTCATGTGCCTGCCGCCCCTTCCCTGCAGTGACCTGCGGGAAAACAGTCTCTCTGGGAAGCTGCCTCCCTCCATTGGCCAGCTCATGAAACTTCAGTTACTGTGAGAAAGCATGCCGTTCCTGTCAATTTCTTACTTGAATGGCTCGTCCCACCCGTTGCAGACTGACTCAATCTCAGCCTTGTCAATGACTCTAACATTCACCTTGTTCAAAGCTGGTGTTGAACGGTTTTATTTCACATTCCTTCATGCCTTAACCTGTGCGCATGCATGTATTTGCACGTCTTTGATATGGTGCCTTTCCATTGTTGTGCCTCCATTGTTGTATCGGAAATCCGACAACCCACAGGGACTTGAGTGGTAACCGTCTCTCGGGAAGCCTGCCGAGTACAATCACATCGATGACAGCTATCACCAGCATGTATGAGCCGCTCTCTGACCCTTCCTTTCAGCCCATCTCGTTTTTTCAGTCCAAAATCCGCCCTTCACGATCTCCTCATTTCAATCCAATTCCCCTTCTCCCTACATTAACCAGATAGGACATTGTTTATCTCAACCCATCCATGCATTACGCAATGCAACCTCCAAAACGGCATCTTTCCTCCCACCACCACTCCCCCAGGCTGATCTACAACAACAAGCTCTCAGGCGCCATCTTGTTGCCCCCAACTGCTTCAGCTCTCTCATCACGCAACAACTTCTTCTCCGCCGCACCCTCCACCACCTGCTCCACCTCCCTCCTCACTGGCAACTGCTTCTCCTACAACGCCTCCTTCTCCTGCCCCTCCATTGCCCAGCGTGCCGACACTGAGTGCGCTCCCTTCTGTGGCCTCTCCAGCACATCGCTCCCGTGTGGGGGGTTGGGAGCGTGTGTGTTGCAGGGGGCGGATGAGACACCTGTGTGTGACTGTGTTGAGGGGTACACCAATGGGGAAATCGGCAGACACATGCATCCGTAAAGGTAAGTAGCTAATAACAAGGTTTGTTCGCGACAGAATGTAGGGGCGTGTGGGGGGGAGGGAGTGGGAGCGTGTGTGCTGCAGGGCGTGGATGAGACACCTGTGTGTGACTGTGTTACCAATGGAGAGTCGGCAGACACGTGCATCCGTGAAGGTAAATACCGAAGACTGACCATGTGATGGCTTATCAGGTTCCAACACAGAATGTGTGTGAAACTTTGCAAAATCTATGCTACGTGCTAAGTCCATGATACGTGCTAAGTGCTCACCATTGCTTCTGCTGCTGCTTGCACTGCAAGCCCTCTGCAAAATCCTCTCTTTCTCAGCTTCCACAACACCTATCCCCTTTGGACCAATTACTCGCCTGCTCTCTCATTCGCGCCTCTCTCACTGTGCAGAGCTGGCCTATCCAAGGATGGCAACCATATTCCCTTCAGGCGGCGTCCTCACAGACCTCACCATGCCCTGTCCTCCGGGACGGCTGTGGTCGAGAGCTCTACTTCAGAGCCAACTTCTCCTTCACCATGCTGCGCTCCGGCAAGACGGGCGGTGACGGGCTCGCGTTTGTGATCTCCAAGACGGCCGCGGCCGGCACGCAGGGCGGCATGGGGTTCGGAGGGATGGACAAGGCGAGCCTGGCTGTGGAATTCGACACGTGGTTGAACAAGGAGGAAAAGGATGCGAGCAACAACCACGTGGGAGTGAACGTGAACGGGATCTCCATCTCCAAAGTGGCTGTGAAGAGCAAGCCGCTGCTGAACAGTGGCATGCCGTACTTTGTGTGGGTGGAGTACAGCCCTGCAGGCAACGGCACGTTGAATGTGTCCCTCGCCACGTCCCCTACGGCCAAGCCAGCCAAGCCGCTGCTCTCGACGCCCCTCTCACTGTGTGACGTGCTGCAGCCCACCGAGGGCTCAAACTCGTTCTACTTTGGCTTCGTCGCTGCATCAAGGGAGAAGTTCACCCAACAGCACACAGTTGGCATCACCAGCGTTGAAACAGGTGGGTCTCTCGCTGTGCCACCTGCTGGAGCCCTCCGAGGGCTCCTCTTTCTTGTACTACGAGTTTGTTGCCTCGTCGAGGGGAAAGCTCTCTCAGTAGCACACAATGAGCATCACAACCGTTCAGACAGGCGAGTCTGCCGTGGTCCGTGCTGCTGTCACATTCTTTCCTATTTTGCTAACCATTGGAGCTTGCAGTTGGGCATCGTGTTTCCCACCGTTCTGTACCACTGCACCTCCCTAATGTATGTGTTTTCTTGTTTTCCATCACTTGTTCCCTGATGCAGGCTATGCTCCAGCCTCCACTCTCTCGCATCGCAGAGGTGAGTTTACACATGCACTGCCATCATCAGCTGCTCTTGAACTCCTCGTTTGGAGAAACACACAAAAATTATCCAGCACAGTGACATTTGAGTCAACTCAAAAGCCACAAGAAAGCAACCAGCACAGTGTCCAAACAGTGCAGTGTCCAAACAGTGCAGTGTCCAAGCAGTGCAGTGTCCATGGTGCCCTGCCGTGCAAGTATGAGGGAGGCCCATGGCCCTCTGGAGAGCAAAGCCGGAATGTCCCTAGTGCATTTGAAATCATCTACATTTCCTCCGTCTGATCTCTGTTCCCCTATCCTTTTCACCTGCGTGCTCTCATACATTCTGTCACTTTCAAATACTGTAATTGTCACCCATAAATTTCAGGTTCATGGGTGTCGTTAAACAAGTTCATGCAATGCCATTTCATCCCTTCCAGTCTGCATTCTATCACATTACACGATAGTGGCGCCACCCTTTTGAGGCGCCCCAAAAGTCATTCTATCACATGACACGATAATAATGGCGCCACCCACCTTTCTAGTCCCGTCACATGTCAACCAATCACATGCACGACTAGCTTCCTGCCTGCCCTGCCCCTTCCCAGCTGCTTCCTAGCCCCCTATTCTGGTCATCCCCTTATCCTCTTTCCTGTTCAAAATCGTTCGGCCCTCCACAATCACTTGCCTTCCCCCCAGCCACGGGGCTACTGGTGTCAGAGTACACGCTGCACCCAACCCAACCACCTCCAGCCCGTTCACGCGCTATGTCAGCACGGGGTACTTGCGTTTGAGAGTTCTCAAAAGTGACTCCTATATCGTCCGCCCTCCCCTCCCCCCAGCTACGGGGCTGCTGGTGTTAGAGGACACGCTGCGCCCAACAACCTCCTTCCCATTCACGCGCTACGTGAGCGCGGGCGGGGTACTCATTTTTGAGAGTTTTCAAAAGTGATTCCAATATTGTCCGCCCTCCCCCCCACAGCCACGGGGCTGCTGGTGTCAGAAGCCACGCTGCGCCCCGCCACCACCAGTCCCTTCACGCGCTACGTGAGTGCGGGGTACTCGCCGGCGCAGGACGGGCAGGCGGCGTGGACGACGCGCAGCTACTCCGTGTGGAGCAACACGGGGCAGCTCTGGCAGGCAGCTGACCAGGGCTTCTGTGGTGAGCCCTGTGGTGGGCGCAGGGGTCACTGTGCCATAGGCATAGCAGGGGTTACTGTGCGATAGCCAAAGCAGGGGTCACTGTGCAACAGGACGTTCTAGGCTTGTGGTGGTAGCAAGGCTTGTGCAATGAGGCATGTGGTGATGGCAGTATCCACAGAGGCATCTCCTACTTCATTCGGGCACCTCTTTTGCGCTTCCATCAGCAAAGCAGAATGTCACTGTCATGGGCGTTTAGTTCTCACACCATACGCTGCATGCCCCAGACCCAGACAGTCCGAATCCGTGCTCCTCACTCTCCAATCTCTTCTCTGTGCTGCATCTCTCTGCCATTCCTATCTCTGCCCTACCCTTTCCCGTTGTACAAACTGTGACGTGACCGCATGAACCGTGACTGCCGTCCACCCGTTGGTGCATGCAGGGAGCTGCTGGGCGTATGCAGTGGCGACGAGTGTAGAGGCGGCATACGGCATCGCCAGCAACCTCTCCCTTCCCTTCCCTTTGTACGAACCTCCACTACCGTCTGCCCCGTTGCTGCATGCAGGGAGCTGCTGGGCATACGCAGTGGTGGCAAGCGTAGATGCGGCATACGGCATTGCGAGCAACAGCAGCAGCGGCAGCTACCCATCCCTCTCCGTCAGCTCTCTCTACTCACTCATGGGGCTGCCCAGCTGCTCTGAGGGCTCGCCCGCCCTCGCGTTCAAGCGGCTCATTGAAGTGGCGGCCACCAGTGGCGGGCTGGAACAGGCCCCGCCCTCAAAGGCTCCTGTCAGGGCCTCGGCTTTTCCCCTCGCCACGACACTCGCGGTAAGGCCCTCTCTCCATCCCTCGCGTTTAAGCAGCCCACTGAAGTGGCAGCGTCCAGTGGCGGGCTGGAACAGGGTCCCCTCTCCTCTAAGTAATCCATCAGAGCATCGGCTTCGCCGCTCGCCACGAGTCATCCGGTATGGCACCGTCCGGTTCATGAGCATGGCTGCTGGCACTCGGTCAATGGGCATGGCTGCTGGCACTCGGTCAATGGGCATGGCTGCTGGCACTCGGTCAATGGGCATGGCTGCTGGCACTCGGTCAATGGGCATGGCTGCTGGCACTCGGTCAATGGGCATGGCTGCTGGCACTCGGTCAATGGGCATGGCTGCTGGCACTCGGTCAATGGTCATGGGTGCTGGCACTCGGTCAATGGGCATGGCTGCTGGCACTCGGTCAATGGGCATGGCTGCTGGCACTCGGTCAATGGGCATGGCTGCTGGCACTCGGTCAATGGGCATGGCTGCTGGCACTCGGTCAATGGGCATGGCTGCTGGCACTCGGTCAATGGGCATGGCTGCTGGCACTCGGTCAATGGGCATGGCTGCTCGCACTCGGTCAATGGTCATGGGTGCTGGCACTCGGTCAATGGGCATGGCTGCTGGCACTCGGTCAATGGGCATGGCTGCTGGCACTCGGTCAATGGGCATGGCTGCTGGCACTCGGTCAATGGGCATGGCTGCTGGCACTCGATCAATGGGCATGGCTGCCCCATCGTATACTTGCACTATTAAGGCATTGGAAGTCTGCATGCAATCACGTGCTCACGCCACCACCGACCTTGTGGTGTGTGCAGGCAGAGAAGTACGTGGTGAATGAGTTTGATTTAAAACGTCTTAGAACAAATTCACCTTCTCATGCGTGCAGGGGAAGAAGTATGTGGTGAACGGGTTTGAGCGCACTGCATTCAATTGCTACTTTGGTCTCCTGCTGGCCGTGCAGCGGCAGCCCGTGGTGGTTCACATCGAGGCCTCTGCTGACTCGTTCATTCAGTACAACGGGGTATGATGGGGTACAGCAGGGTATGATGGGGTACAACGGGGTATGTTGGGGTACAACGGGGTATGATGGGGTAAAACGGGGTATGATGGGGTAAAATGCGGTATGATAGGGTACAACGGGGTATGATAGGGTACAACGGGGTATGATGGGGTACAACGGGGTATGAGGGGGTGCAACGGGGTATGATGGTGTACAACAGGCTATGTCACAGGCCTCTGCAAAACAGTGCACTTGTTTTAATCGAAGGGATATTCGAGGCCAGCTGCTCGTGGATCAGGTGGCGTTTCGATCTCTTTCACCTCTAAGTGCGTAACTTTAGTACCTGTAGTTGCAACTTTATTCGTCTAACCTTTTCGACGCAAGCAAACACGTGTTAATTGTGCAGTCCGCTTCTGGGCCATATCGTGCACTTCATTTGAGGCACCTCAAAACACGTGTTAACCGTGCAGTCCATTTCTGGGCCATATCGTGCACTTCATTTGAGGCGCCTCAAAACACGTGTTAACCGTGCAGTCCGTTTCTGGGCCATATCGTGCACTTCATTTGAGGCGCCTCAAAACACGTGTTAACTGTGCAGACCGTTTCTGGGCCATATCGTGCACTTCAATGCAGTGTCTGCTCACCATTGTCCTCTTTTCCGTGGGCTCCTTTCTGTTGTATGCAGCTGCAGAAGTACCAGGACCCCGGCTGCTACACGGGCAACCTCAACCACGTTGTACTCGTTACAGGCTACCTCATGTTAGGCACTGACGACAGCCGGCCTCATGTCTTTGCACCATTTTGGCTCATCCGCAACTCGTGGGGTTCACAGTGGGGCGACAATGGGTACAAGCGGATGGGCATAGAGGCGGGGAGGGGATGGCGTGTGTGGCATCAACGTGCTGCCTGGCATCTACCCCATCATCAAGTGTGAGTCAGCCTGCGGTGTTGACGTGAGGGTGCACGTAGCGAATTCAACCTGGGTGGTGTTGGCAAATTTCTGTAAGTGTTTAACAGAAACAAGTTGGCCCAAATGATTGTGTGCGAACCCTCTCATGCTGACAAGCAAGGTGGGCAAATGATGATGTGCATGTGTTGAATGTGCACGTGCACCTAAAAATGCAATCCGTGTCGGCCTGTGCTATTGAATTGCTCAAAGTATGTAGTGCCAAATTGCTGCCAGTTTATAATCCTGACTTGTGGCAACAAATGTCAGCATGTGGAGAGTGGTGACATTCAGAAGGTCGAGCAGCATCTAGCCATAAGCACCTACAGGTGAGCTGCTGACACCATCTGCATCCTTGTGCATCCGCCTCTTCATAAACCCATGAAGCGCGCATGAAGCCACATGTGCTACATTCATCTCAGCACACAGACTGATCCACACGTGATGCATCACTCTTACCAAGTCATACCAGGTATATCTCAAGTCGTCTTAGAATGCTCCTGCGTCCCTCCCTGCCGCACCCCACCAACTGCCATCGACTCCTGCGTGGTGAGAGCCTACAAGCACAGCAGCGAGACAGGGTCAGTACTCTACCCGTGGGGCACATCCAGTCATACCAGGTGTATTTCAAGTCGGCTCAGATTGCTCCGCCCACCCTCTCCCCACCCCTTGCCATACCAAACCAGCTGCGGACGACCCGTGCATGGTGAGGGCCTACAAGTACAGCAGCGAGACAGGGTCGGTGCTGAACCCGTGTGACCTTAGATTCAACTCAAAAGTCTCCCTCCCTCCTTACTCCCCACCAGCTGCGGACGACCCGTGCATGGTGAGGGCCTACAAGTACAGCAGCGAGACAGGGTCGGTGCTGAACCCGTGTGGCACGTTCCAGTGCACCCCTGATGGCACCTCCAACCATTGCGCATGCACGGCGCCCTTCAAGGAGGTCACCAACGCTGATGGCACGCGCTCCTGTGCTTACAGTGAGTGTCACATTACATTATGCTTGGTGGTGGCGGAGGTGGTGGTGCTTATGTGCTCTGGTGGGCAGAGTCATGGCTCGTTCCAGTGGTTGGAGCAAGTCATGTGTTCGAAGTCACTTTTATGTTGTTATTACAAGTTCTTTTTTCCTTTTTTTTTTCTTTTCTTTTATGGTGAGTCTGGTTGGTCGTCGTGCATCCAGTAACACCACCAGCTGGTCACACGTACAGTGGGTTTGACGTTATTGTTGTTCGTGGTTGTAATGGAGGTGGTATGCTCTGATGGATATGGATAGAGTCATGGCTCGTTTCAGTGCTTACAGTGATTCCAGTGCTTAGGGTGATACCAGTGCTTAGGGTGATTTTAGTGCTTAGGTTGATTCTAGTGCTTAGGATGATTTTAGTGCTTAGGGTGATTCCAGTGCTTCACGTGATTCTTGTGCTTAGGGTGATTCCAGTTCTTAGAGTGATTCAAGTTCTTGGAGTGGTTTCAGTTCTTAGAGTGATTCCAGTCCTTATAGTTATTCCACTGCTTTGGGTGATTATAGTGCTTAGAGTGATTTTAGTGGTTAGAGTGATTCCAGTGCTTAGGGTGATACCAGTGCTTAGGGTGATTTTAGTTCTTAGGTTGATTCTAGTGCTTAGGTTGATTTTAGTGCTTAGGGTGATTCCAGTGCTTAGGGATTTTAGTGCTTAGGGTGATTTTAGTTTTAGAGTGATTCCAGTTCTTCGAGTGATTCAAGTTCTTGGAGTGGTTTCAGTTCTTAAGAGTAATTCCAGTCCTTATAGTGATTCCACTGCTTTGAGTGATTACAGTGCTTCGAGTGATTTTAGTGGTTAGAGTGGTTCCAGAGCTTAGAGTGAGTCTGGTTTATAGAGAGGTTCCAGTGCTTACAGTGAGTTTGCTGCTCCTATTGAGTTCTTTGTTTATATTCAGTTCGATGCTTCCACTAACTCATTGCTAATTGGGACTGTGTCTGAGGCCCTTACCAAGCTGCTCGCACCAATTGTCTGCCTCGTGTACATGCTGTACTGTACTAGTACCTCCTCCATGCCCAACTAGGTGACTCTTGAGTCGACTCAGAAGTCTACTGTACTAGTAGCTAGCTCCATGCCAAACTCACTTTGTGCAGCAGCGATGCCCCCCTCTAGTGCATGATACGTAATCAACACTGTAAAGTTAGGATAGACCACAGTCTTTCTGTCAAACAACGGATCAAGTTGAGTGCATTGTCTTCTGTTAGAGCCAGATATATATATGCTATGGCTAATCTTTCTCAGACTCTCTTTCCCTAGCTCAAGTTTCTTGGTTCACACTTTTGTGCAGTTAGTTGTAGACACGGCTGCAGCTCCAACTATGTACGGCTAAGCGACCATCCCAAACTCAACAGTCCTAGCTTCTCACTTCCAGTTATTAGATGCTAACCTTCATGGCTGCCCAAGGGAGAGACAAACCTCATAGCTCGCCAGCAATTGTGCATGCCATAGAAGGCATTCTACAAGAGAAAGACATGATTGGCAATTGCGCAACACATGCAACCCCATGATCAGGCCACTATGCTTGTTGTGTCTGTGCATACCCGCTGTGTGCTCCTCCAGTGAATGTCTGCAGGAGCAGCACACGCAACCCCTGCGAGGTGGGCACGTGCATGGATGATGGGCAGGGCGCCTACACGTGTGTGTGCCCGCCCACACACACCCCAGACACCACCATCGATGGCTTTCCCACCTGTTCCAAAGGTGCGCCCCGATGCAGATAATTCTAGCTTCCCCTTTCCCACCTCTTACCATACTGCCACTAAACTAATGTCATTATGTGCGACAACCGAAGTAGGGTGATACGGAGGTCATGAAAATCCTTGCTTTGAATAAACGAATTGATATTGATCCATTTTATGGCCATTGCAATAAGCTCTCCTAATGGCCTCACACGTCCTACCAACCCATGTTTAACTGAACAATCCATCATCCCCGTTAATGCTCTCCCATTAATAAACAAATAGAAGCATACATGAATGAATGGACCATACAAGGCTGAAATTGCAAGTCAAGTTTACCTTGCTCCATGATCACACTCCCCTTCCCCTGTGTTGCTCCCAGGAGTCACACTCGCGTCAACGCTAGTAGTGGCTGGAGATAACTGGCATTGCAATGATGTTAATACCCTTCATGGCAACACATTTGAGGACTTTCAGTCCAATAACACTGTGAGAAATGCTTACCTTCTCCAACCACTCAACTCCCTACCTGTGACGATCTCATGTGCTCTTGTTTTTGGGGGGGGCGTGTCATGCTGTTCGCTTGTGAAATGTAAAGGTGAGTTTGAATGCAGGAAGATTGGCCTCCAGCACACCACGAGCCACTTGATAGGAAGCTTTCTGCAAATACGTCAACCACGTCTCGTGTTTGTTTGCTAAGAGGATACATCACTTTATCGAAAGTATCCATAACACATCTAGGAAAGGCATGTGTGACCGAATCAGCACGACTATCAGCCAAGGCACTCTTGGGTCACTGCTGGCCATGCCTGCATTGCATGTTGGCTGTGACTAGTTGGTTTCTGAGTATTCTTAACAAACTAGTTTCCTGTTAAGCCTACACTGCATAATTTTGACAAAGACAAGTTAGTTCGTGAGAATCTAAAAAAAAAAAAACGTCCTGCACTGGATGATGTTGACTGCGACTAGTTGGTTTCTGAGAATTCTTAAAACCTACTTTCCTGTTGAGTCTTCCTGCAGGATGTTGACTGTGGCTCTCCCCTCACGAGAGACATGGTGCTCAAGGTGCCTCCGCCCAACAATCTGCCTGCTTGCTCTGCTTACTATTATACCTATCCGGTGAGGGCCGTAGATTTTCCACCTTCGGCTTCCGATGCTCCAAGCAAGCTCCAATTCCTCTCGCTGTCTGCTATGCACTGCCTCTACTAGTCCCTTGCTTGGAAATTATCTTGTCTGTACTACTTAATTCCCATTACATCTTTCTGGGAAAAAAGAAGTCATAGAGGTTGTACCCATAAGACCCTCTCTAGATGCACTTGACAGCCCCTTCTCGTCTAATCCTACCTGTTATCACCCCTCTCCGTCCCCTCCTTTCCCATCATTGCCATGCCTTGCCGCTCGAACCGAACCCACCAGAGTGACACGTGTGCATCCATAACAACCTTTTTTAGCTGTCTCCATGGCCTATAAGGCGCCTCAGAAATGTTTTAGCCACCTCAAAATGCGTCTGCAACAGCGCAATCCGAACCTCCACTGCTCCTCCCCACTCCCTGCCATTCACTCCCTGCCATTCACTCCCTGCCATTCACTCCCTGCCATTCACTCCCTGCCATTCACTCCCTGCCATTCGCTCCCTGCCATTCACTCCCTGCCATTCACTCCCTCTCCTCATCTCCCTCAGGAATCATCGCCTCCGTACAATTCAAACCCCCCTATATCTTCCCCTCCTCCCCCTCGTGACAAAACCCATGGCACCCACACCCACCAGAGCGACACGTGTGCGTCAGTGGCAGCCTTCCTGGCCCTCTCCACCGCCACGCTCAAGCAGCTCAACCCGGACCTTGACTGTACCTCCCCACTCTCCTCTCCATCCTCTCCCCTCACCCCTCCCCTCACCCCTCTCCTCACCCACCAGAGCGACACATGCACCTCCGTGGCAACCTTCCTCGCCCTCTCCACCGCCACACTCCAGCAACTCAACCCGGACCTCGACTGCTCCTCTCCTCTCCCCGCCTCACACTCCCTCTGCATCGAGCGCAACGCGCGCCCCGCGGCCAGCATTCCCAGCTGCCTGGTGACCACCTTCATCAGCAGCCAGGCGGGGTGCAGTCAGGCGGTGGATGCGTCACGAGGAGCCCTCTCCATGGTGGAACTGTATAGGATGAATCCAGGACTCGTTTGCAGCAACGCCGTGCCCGTTCTTGCGGGGGCGCCTAGTGACAAACTGGGAGTGAAAGTGAGTTTGGGAGGGATCACAGATGACACTACCAGGTACGAACAAATGACAGGAGGAAGCAGCTCCTGGGTACCTAGGTGTCTCAGGTATCCTTGAGGCAAGCTCAAGATGGAAATTTTGAGGTGAATAGTAATACAATGGCTGGATTTTTCTAGTACAAGAGCTCGTTAGGTTCATCCAAAAGGGGACATGTTTTGCTGAACAGGGGAACTTCCTCAGCTATTACTGTTCTGCAAACACATTTTGCTACAACACCAAGTCGAGGGACAAAGGAGACAGCTAATGTGGGAAAGTCG